ATTACAAATGGCTTAAAACAATGTAACTTACTTTACGAATGGTTTAAAACAATGTATTTTACTTTACGAATGGTTTAAAACAATGTATCTTACTTTACGAATGGTTTAAAACAATGTATCTTACTTTACGAATGGTTTAAAACAATGTAACTTACTTCTTCTTTATCCTGAAGTACTTGTTCTATTTCCTTCTGAAGTTCACGAACTTTAATTTCCAGAGTCTCAGTTGATGTGGACGTCTGTGCCTGCAGCCTTTCCATGCAAAGCTGCAATTCTTTCAATTCAGCTTGTGACTGGGTAACCTGAGATTTGCTCTTCTCCAGCTGTTGCCACAACTCTTCCCGCTCTGCTTCCTTTATGGTAACTAGATGTTCTTGACCAGCTAACGTATTAGTAAGTTTAGAGATGTTTTCTTGTGTCTTTTGTAATTCTTCGTGCTGTTAACAAAAGTTTTTCCATTTTAAAATTCAAAACTATTACATTCTAGATTATAAAAAAAAAAAATTGTTTTCTTTGTGCCCCAAATTTCAAACCCCAGGATTTTTACATTGTAACCTGAGGGGACAGAATACGTTTTATACTGCAGAAAGCAGATATAAAATAAATGGATGAAAAAACACTTATCTTTTCTTACACATCAAAGTAAAGATAAAATTAATAATATTGAGAACTGACACTTTTTTTTTATCATGTAATTATATATACTTATATTTACAACTGTCTTTTAAATTTGGGTCAATGACTAGGATCATTAAATCATCCAAGATTATCTTAAATCACATCAGACAATTTAAACAGACTACTTAAAAAAAAATATTTAAAACTCAGACACAAGTAAGCCATTTCAAAATTCTAAATTAATAGATAATTAATAGAACATGTGCACAATTTGGTGGTACCAAAGACAGCATACAAAAGTGTTACAATGTGAAAAAATAAGGTAACCAAGTACAAAGAAGCTTCTTTGTACTTGGCTACCTTATTTTTTCACAATGTAACACTTTTGTATGCTGTCTTTGGTACCACCATATTGTGCACATGTTCTATTAATTATCTACCGGTTATAACTTCTTTGTACTTGGCTACCTTATTTTTTCACAATGTAACACTTTTGTATGCTGTCTTTGGTACCACCATATTGTGCACATGTTCTATTAATTATCTACCGGTTATAATAACCCTTTTGTGTAGCCTTTTAAATGCAATTACAGTTAAAAGTGACAGTTTTATTTTTATTTCTTACCTATTGAGTAAAATTAGATTGATAGCCGTTGCATTGAATGATCTTATAGGAAAGTAGCAGAGCTACAGACCAAGTTACAAACTTGTTCACAAGAAATAGAGGAACTGAAAGGTACTGTTAATTCCCTTCATAACCGAAACAAACAGGAATTTGACAAGATGAGAAATGAGCACAACGAAGAAGTTCAAGTACTGAAAGCCGAAATAAAAATGCAAGTAAGATTACGTTCCGGTTATAACTTTAAATGCAATCCCCCCCTCGCTAGACACCAGCTTTCGATAGCCGTGGTGGGCAGAGCTCAGGTCAAGGTCAGGGGGTATAGAAAAGTTAAGCACAATGTAACAAAATAACTTGGACGATATGCAGATGTTTCCCTAAACAAACAAACAAAAAATCTAAATTCTAATAAATAAACAATTTTTCCAAATGATTTTACTTATTAGAATTAAAAACGAAATGTTCCATTACTGCATAGAAAAAAAAGGTTTTCTTATCTTTATTTCACTCATTGTTTTTCACCATTGTTTTTTATAAAAAGAAATGGAACATAAAGGAGGAGATTTATCGTATATTCCTTTTGTATTTAAAAAACAAAAAATATTAAAATAAATACCACTACTTTATAACATGATAACATCCCTTTTGTTTACGTTTTTACTGTTATCCAGCATAAAGTTATTTTAATGGCAACGTTGTTAACTTGCAAAGTTGTAACCTAAAGATATCCATAATTAGTAGTTATAAAAGAGTCTGGAAGGTTAGGGATCTGAACCCTGAAGATTATGGTACTTTGGCAAACCTTAGTTAAAATGTATACTAAATAAGTGCTCTCTGTTTAACACATTCACTGCCTGTGCCCAAAGGTATGTTAGTCAGTTCCTCCGATGCATGTCTGCATCAACTAAAATAATGAGACAAATACATTTTATTGGAGTCTGCACGTGTTAGAAGTCAGTTTTTCTGCGACAGCTATCGCTTGGTTGTAAATTTTATTTTATTTTTTCTGATTGGATATTTTAAGATGGATAAATATAGTGCTCACGTTCAGAAAGAATTCAAAGCCCCACAGAAACTTTGATGTGAAATTCTCAGGACTATAATTTACCCTTCTACATTGAAAACATACCCAAAAACCATGACAAAATGTAGAAAACAGATGATGGACATGTGCATCATGGTACAGAATTTAGTTGAATACACATATCTGCCCATAAATATTCTATCTGATATTATTTTGCATTATAAAAATACTCCTAATAAAAAGAAACCAATGGCACTGGGCACAGGTATCGATCTACGAGGAGGCAGTGAATGTATTAAAAGCCTATGGTATGTGCTTTAAAAATGCTATGTATCTAATTAAAATATAAATATATTTCTTAAATGCTCATGTTGTACAAAAACTACCTTTTTTAGCTATTGTATAGAATAATAAACCACTTTTACATACTCCTTTTTTATGGTCCCTCTATCTTCAAAAACTTTAAACTCATGAAATACACAAACAATTTATTTCTTACGATGGCTTAAGTGTTCATGAAATCTTTTGAAAGAATACAGTCCTTTATATATTTTTTTAGTTCTCCGCTTGTTCACCCTTAAAAGAAAAAAAAGGGATGGTTGGGACATGGAGCTTTTATCATGAAATGAAATTCTGAACACTACTAACTCCTGTTTCTCTTTAAGCTCCTGGTTTAGTAGGTTTCTCTGCTCAGAGCTATCTCCCGATGAACGAATCAGTTCTATGACCTGTTCTTCAAGCTCTGTCTTCTGGTGTAAAAACTCCTGCATCTTTTGTTCACTTGTGTGCAGTTTCTGCTCTGCATCTAATTGCATCACAGTGAAGTAAAAGGTGATATAAAAATACAGTAATCAGGATAGAAAATACGAAATAGTTTGTTGGCCTGATTTTATTACAAGTTTACTAGCATAAATAAAATAATAGATTGATTCACCATTACGTTATGTTTTTAAAACAACCTCTTTATTGCAATAAACAGCACTTTAACTTCAAGTTTATACAAGATACAACATTAACTTTATAGAACAAATATTACTTTAATTTCAAGTTTATACAAGATACAACATTAACTTTATAGAACAAATATTACTTTAATTTCAAGTTTATACAAGATACAACATTAACTTTATAGAACAAATATTACTTTAATTTCAAGTTTATACAAGATACAACACTAACTTTATAGAACAAATATTACTTTAACTTCAAGTATATCCAAGATACAACATTAACTTTATAGAACAAATATTACTTTAACTTCAAGTTTATACAAGATACAACACTAACTTTATAGAACAAATTATTTTAGTTTGGCCTTTCTTCAAAACTAAATATATCAGGTACAAAACAGCAACATGAAGGGTGAATATTAAGTAAGACTCCTTTAAAACACAAAATCCAGTTACTATATCGGTACATTATGCTATAATGGAAGAGTTAAACAACGTGACTGTGAACTCCATGGAATGCGAGATACAGGTGGTCTTGCAATAAATCACAGCTCAGAATATCCTTGTTCAAAGCACAGCTTACATACAAAGAAAGCTTACTATGAAAACTGTCAGTGCTGATGTCATCTCACAAAGCATGAAGAAAATAGATAATATACGATATGGACAAAATTTGGAAAAATGGAAAAATGCTGTAGCAGTATCTTTTAAAATTATTAATGTATAAATAAAATTATTGTATTCATAATATATAATATTATATTTTCAACCTAAACGTATCCAATAGCATTCTTTTGTGTTAAGTCAATCTAAAAAATTAAATTTTCTGCATATTAAGTACAAAAGTAGTTTGTATTTCCTGCACTAACTCAAATATGAAATGGTTTTAATTTATAAAACTACATATAAAACTAACAGTTTATAAGAGACCGACAGTCGAGGAAGGACAGAAGTCACTTGCGTAGAATATGAGCATCTAAGATGTCATATCCAGCTTAGCCCAAAAAAGGATAACACAGTATATTAAACACTGAAATATTAGTACACATGAACAAGGTCATTAAACTTTCATTATGTACAAACACTCAACGCATTTGGAATTCATAAATAGTACTTTCTTGTTTCTTGACACTTTAAAGTCGACTTCTTTACGTTGCTTAACAGACTGCTATGTTATTGTTAGCTAAGAAATTAACAAAATATGAGATCATGATATTCTCACTTGCTTTTGAAAAGATATTTATTGAAAATTTTAAAAATAAACCAACAATACTTTATTTCAGTTGATAAGTCAAAACTGATTTTTTGTTTTAGTGACAGCATGTTTAAATTATTGCTAATTAGCTGAAA